CCTGCACAAGGCTAGATCCTCACCCAGAGGAATGAGAGTCAGCCTCCTTCCTCTGCCCGAGTCTGGGTCCTATAGGGGGTTGAGCTCTAGCTAGGGTCATTGGCTCAAGCCCTCTAGATCAAGGAGGGGGAACGACTGGAACCAGCTGAGACGAGGGGCTCTGGGGGAGACGTTGCCAAGCAGATGGGATCCGGTGGCTGCATGAGTGTCCGAGGCTAGCGACAAAGTGTGAGCAAACCGTGCCTGAAATAAATTAACATTACCCTGTGGCGGACCTCCTCCACCCACGTGACAGCTTCCTAGCAAGAAGCAAAGCTGGAGTTTATTAAGTGCTTATTAAGTGCAAGGCCTTTACGCCCCTATGTCCTGCCGTCACGATAGTCTTGCAAGCTGGTACTATTCATTCCATTTTACAAATAATGAGACGGAGGCTCAGAGAAATGAAAAGAAACTTGCTGGTGGCTCTACGGCTACTACGAGGCACTGGGATTTGAACCCAGGTCTGTTAGGCTGCACAGCTCAGGTAGCCGCAAGGAAACTTCCAATCTGGTGTTGTAAGGATGTTGGGAGTATAAACCAACCTTCGCTCAGTGAAAGAGAGGTCAGCCCGCAGGCGCACCCTGACTTTCTGTGTTTCCTAGACGGCGTCAGCTTCACCTGTCTTCCCCTCCCCAGACTTCTGTTGTGTCTTTCTGGAGACGTATGGACCAGGATGTTTCACTGGACCAAAAAGGGACCCGCATCCCCTTATGAAAACAGAACAAAGCCCCCCCCGCCCCGCCCAGAAGAAACAGCTGGTGCTCTCAGGGAGCGGGAGGACAAGCAAGGGGACCCTGTCACCCCTGACCGCCCCCCTCTGACAGCTCACCTTCTCCTTCCATGTCACAGGCGGTCTGGACATTTGTGAGCCAAGGGCTGCCACGTCCAGCCCACATTTGCCCCTGCAACACTGTCTCCAGGGATTTCCTGCTCTTGTCACCGTCCCCAGCTGCCCAAGATCCCCTGACCCCCTTCTCTGCCTGAGCCATGAGGGGAGTTTGTCTCCATGTTCCCCTCCAGCTCAGATGGACTGCAATTGCCTGAACAATTTTACCAAAAACAAAGAGAAATATCAAAACCATTTTTTTTACATGTCTTAGAATTGTAAAAGCATTTTGAATCACCATGCTTACAAGCAATAGGTTTCTCGCATGCAGGTACTAACCAAGCCGCACCCTGCTTAGCTTCCGAGGTCATGCATGTTCTGGGTGATATGGCGTAGACTCGAGCAATAGGTTTCTGGCCCTAAACCAAAGGAAGGTCATTTCCAGGCCTCAGCCCCATTCTCTGGTCCCCCCAGAGACAAGATAAGAGTTGCTCTCCGCTGGAGTCCCTTTCCCACTTCCTCCAGGAGGGCAGCTGGAGGCTGGCAGAGATGCCCTGGTGCCCTAGTGGGGCCCTCGTCTTGTCCCTCTGCCCCGCCATGGAGGCCCATGGTGGGGACCAGACTCAGCGGCCAGGTCAGCCCTCTGCTCTGCTCTTGGGGAAGGGCTGTGGGATTATTCCCTCATGCTAGCAGCTTTCTCTTCTTATTTCTTGATAATAAGAGGAGAGGCTGTTTTTTCTTTCTTTTTTTTTTTTTTTTCACATCTCCGTTTGATCCTGGCCTCAGCCTCCCCCACGCCGGGCCCCCATTCCGAGGACTTTCTGGCCCTAGTAGCATAGGGGAACTGGTTTCTCAGAAGCCTTGTGTAGCCTTGCATTGTCTTGTGTCGTGTTCAGGGGCTGTCAACAAGGAGAGTATCTCCTGACATCTTCCCAGGCTGCCTCATCTTGTCCCCAGGGCGGGTCACCGCTGTCATCCCCAAGTGACTCTTTTATGGGTGTTTTTTCCCATCTGCTGAAGTCACAGTGTTCCTGGCCTCCTTCCAGGCCTTGCCCACTGTGGGCTGCCTAGCAGATTGCAGCTTCCCTGAATTGTCCTGCCCCCATGCCTGGGATATGCACCGGTCCCACAGCCAGCGCCTAAGTGAGGTCAGAGGTCAGAAGAGCAGCCTGGGTTGACCATCCTGGGCTCCACTGAATGATTTATTAGCCACTGTCTCCAGTAGGGGCTATTAGCACATCAAAGCCGTGTTTGTAGAGCCTGGAAGAGTAGCGACCGTGATAGATGGCGGACAGTAGCTGTGGTCACACCATCAGACCTGCTCTGTGAGCAGGGGGTGGAGGGAGAGGTTCCTGACTCCAGCACAGGCGAGATGAGACCCAAATGTCCATGTTCCGTAACATGGATTCGTCCCTCGATGCACGAACCCTTGGGTGTGGAACTCTGGAAGTCTAGGCCGTCCGGTGCAGTGCCGGCAAAAAGAGTGGATTCTGGAATCTCTAAGATGGGAGTTCAAATCCCAGCTCTGGCCTCTGGGAGCTGGGGGAAATGGGGCTCATCCTGGGCTCTCCAAAGCCTGGGCCTTGCTTCCGGCAGGATGCGGATTACAACACCGCGCTTGGAGGCCTAGGGAGAGGCCTGGAGAGGGGACATGGGCCTACATGTGTAAACTGCGTGGCTGGGGGAGCTTGGCAGATAGGATTTCTCAACACGGGGCCCCATGGGGACCTCCGGGTGGCCATCCCCGCTTGGAGGAGGACGCTGCCTCTGGGCAGGGCCGGGCTGGACATAGTGCTGCCCTCGTGCTTACTGCCATGCTGTCCGGCTCCTCGGCTGTCTCCCACCCATGCGCGGACAGACAGGCTGTTCTCCTGTGAGCCGAGGGGCTGAGGCACCTCAGACGAGGTGGTGCTCTTCAGCCAAGACCAGTTCCTGAAGAGAACTGACAACGACACCGCTTTCAGCGTCTTGGGGGACCGTCCTTCACCCTCCGAAGGGGAACCGGGAGGGGGCACAGCACAGCACCCACCCCTGGGGCCTTTGTACAGGTGCCAGGACATAGCCTGGACCAGACGCTCCACCTCGGCCTTCACGACGGGGAGCCACGCGTCCCTTGGGAAAGTGCCAGGTCCCTGGAAGTTTCTGTGGCATTCCTGTTTACTCTTCAGAACTGGGAGGTTTATCAGACTCGGTGAACACATCGGTTCCCCTTCGGCTCTGACTTTTGAGGATTCCTCTGGCTCAGACAAGTGGGAGAATCAGAGGGAGCTCCACCTCTACCCCTAAGCCAAAGTCTGGACACCCCAAAGGTCTCCCAGTGCACTGGGGACGAGACCAAGCTCGTCAGTCTGGCCTCCAAGATCCTTTGAAGTCTGGTCCCTGCGTGGCCTTCCTGCCAAATCTCATGTCAATCTCTTCTTTTGTCCCAAAGCTCTAAGGCGGAGCTGCTTAATGGAACTTTCTACAATGATGAAAATATTTTATACCTGCGCTGTCCGATATAGTAGCCATTAGTCACATGTGGCTACTCCATACTTGAAGTGGGGTTAGTGAGACTGAGGAACTGAATTTTAATTTTATTTAATTTTAACATAAATGGCCGCAGGTAGCTTCTGGCTACCATATGAGACACCACAGTTCCAGCCACTTAGGCCCTTTTCTCTATTTCCCTGAGAACCCAGGCTCGTTCCCATCTCAGGGCCTTTACCCTTGTCATAGTTTGTGTGGAATGATCAGCCCTTGGACCCTCTCACACTGGCTCCTTCTCATTTGTTAAGTTTCAATTCCAATAACTTCCTCAGAAAAGCTCTCTACCACTGAGGCGAAAGCATTTTCCCCAGTCCCAGGCCCGTCCAGCGCATTACCATATACTTCTTCGTAGCAGTTACCAATGCCTGAATTTTCTCACTTAATTATTTCTGTTTAATGTTTGTTGCTTGCAACTAGAAAGAATAGTAACAATGTAAAATGCAATAATTTACATGGACGTACTGTGTGTTGGGTACCAGTTTGAACACCTCACATACATCGTCCCGTGGAACTCTCACCACACCCCCTTGAGGTGGGTGCTGCTTCATGCCCATTTTACAGATGAGGACACTAAGGCTCAGAGGTTGACTTGCCTAGCGTCACATGCCAGGACTCACTCTCTTTTTCAGCTCTGTAACCCCAGTGGCAACTTTGGACAGTGTCAGACACCAAGGGCGAGGCCCCCAGAAGTGACTGTTGACCCTGGGCTGGCTAGGACTCTGCTGGGTGAGGAGGCCAGCCCATATGGCCCCAGGAAGGCCCTGGCCCTGGGTGTGGGCACCGGCTCTGCAGCTCTGTGGAACGCCAGGCTGGAACAGTGAGCTGGGGGTGAGGTCCAGGGTGGCACTGAGTATGACCTAGAGTCTCACCCATTCAATCCTAGGAGACTCCAGTGGACTGATTGGGGAGAGTAGTGGGCCTGGCTGGGCCAAACGGACAGATCTTTCTCCTGGGCAGTGAAGTGTGCTCTCAGCCAAGGTGGACTCTCAGTGGCTAAGGCTGGGCTGGGGTTGGGGCTGGGGCAGAGAGGCAGGGGTAGAGGCAGGGCTGGGGCAGAAATAAGGGCGAAGTTGAGACCAGGGCAGAGGCAGGGGCAGAGGCAGGGCTGGGGCAGAGACAGAGGCTGGGCTGGGGCTGGGGCAGGGGCAGGGGCTGGGCTGGGGCTGGGGCAGGGGCAGGGGCTGGGCTGGGGCTGAGGCAGGGGCAGGGGCTGGGCTGGGGCTGGGGCAGAGACAGAGGCTGGGCTGGGGCTGAGGCAGGGGTTGGACTGGGGCAGAGGTTGCTCAGTCTGTGTTTACTGTACTTTCCTGGTGCCTCGGGCAGAAAAGGACCAGAACTTTGGAGACCACCCAGCTTTTCCCTCTGCAGAGAGCTCTCACACTCTCCTGCCCTCCCCGCCAAAGCCCGAGCCTGGGGCTGCCTGTCCGGCTGCAGGAAGGTGGGGTGGAGGGGCTCTGTGCACAGCCGCAGTGGGGAGAGGCTTCTCTGCTGTGAATTCCTTCATGGGAATCAGCACCTGGTAACACAACCTGGTGTCCCGGGGGACCTGCCCACCCCACCCACACCCACCCAAATAGCATCTTCTCCTATTTAAAAAGTCAGACAGGGCCTCCCGTGGGGAAGGGACATTCCACGAGGAGGGGTTGCTGTTGGGCACAATCACCCTCCTCTTGATGCTGTGGTTCTGTTCCCATTTCCTGTAGGGTCCGCACGCCACGCCCTCCCCCTGCACAGCCCCCTCCCCCACCCCCGCCACTGCACACTGGGCTCCCAAGGGGGGGGCAGGAGTTTTGGACAAGGAGACTGAGGGGCACGTGCTAGTTCCAACAGAGCCTCTTTTCTGCTGGGTGACCTGGAGTAAGCTTCCTAACCTCCAAGCTCGAAGTACAGTGCTCTGAAAACTCCCGGGAGTTCTTACGTGTGAGGTCAACAGCAAGCGCAAAAAGTCATAACCACGATGTTCATACAAAGTTTCTGTGTTGACCCAACAATCCCACTTCCTTAGCCTAAGAAAATAATTTATCAAAGGTGCTAACGGCACAGAGGTATTCACTGCAGCATAAAATAGGAAGAAACATAGAAACTTCCAGATCTAGCAGCCAACAAATCTAGGTAAATCATGATCTATTGTGCAGCCCTTTGAAAAATGGCATTTGGAAGGCTGCACGATGTGGGAATGTGTTTACCTTGTCAAGGGAAAGAGGCAGTGCGCCACGTTACGTGCGCGCTCCTTCCCACCCTGCAAATGTAGGGCTCCGTGTGGAGGAGGGTCAGAGACAGGGAGAGAAACTGGAAACAGTTGTGGGAGAGCAGGGGGCTGGGGGGTGAGGGACGATGCTTTTCTTTCACAAAATGTCCTTTAATGTTCTTAAAGAGCTGTTTTAACAATAAATAAATGTCAGAAAAACAAACCTTTTTTTTAGAAAGCAAAGCCAAATGTGAGATCCAAAGTGTTTTCACTCTTCTCAGCTCAGATGTCTCCAGTTCTTGGATCCTCCTTCACCCCCCAGCACCCCACAGCCCCGAACGTCCTCTCGAGGTCCCGTGCCAGCCCCGCCCCCAGCCTGTCCGGCCCGGCGCACAGCCTGCGGGGCCTCACCTATTCCTCTCCTTTCCCTCCTCTCCCTTCTCCTGTCACGTGTCTAAGATAGCGGTGTCTATCTCTGCTTGCCACCGGACTCTGGCTGGAGCCTCTACATCCTCTGTTACGAGAGTTCTTTCGCTTGCAGCTGCAGCTGACACCCTGGCCAAGGAAGGCAACTGTGTTTCCTCACAGATGCCAGCTCCAGTGGATTGGCTGTGGCTGCCAAAAGTATAAGAAGCCGTGCTGAAATCGACTAGTTATGTCTGCCATGGGCCCCGGCTGGAGAGTAGGGATACGTGTCTCGGGTACTTGCTCTCCCAGAGTCGTCTGGTACTAAAAATAGGGCTCTGATATCTGGGTTTTGTCTCAGCCCTGCCAGTGGTTCCCTGGAGAATGGTGGATGCTGTACCCCTTTGTCCCATGGAAGGAAGAGTGGAAGCACCCAGTGCTCCAGGCAGTGCACTGGTGTGGAAAGAGGGTGGGCTTTGTAGTCTGACAGACCCCAGTGAGAATTCCGGCCCCACCATTTTGGTCTTAGACAATCAATTTAACTTTATTGAACTGTCCTATTTCTACCTGGAAGTGAACATATTTGCAGAAAGTTGTGTTATGAAAATTAGAAGTCATGACTAGAAAGCACGCAGTCTGCTGCCTGGCACACAGTAGGTGTTTTTGTGGCCATCCTGGGGCTCAGGCGTGTGTGGTGGTGTTGAGGCAGGTGGTGTGACAGGAGACCCATGTAGGGGCTCCAGGCTGTTGCCCACATATTTCTTTCTGGCTCCCTGGCCCACAGCCACACACGCAAGCCTTCACCACGGCCTTGTGGGCAAAGAACACAGCTGCTTGAGACATAACTAATTGAAAGACAGAGACAAGCAAATTTTTCACTTGATTATGCCATTATAAATGAAAACACTCTGTACTATGACCGAGCATTAACATTTATTAATTACTAATCATGATATATATTTTTCACTGTATACAAATTAAAGTAAGATTTAAGAAAAATAGATAGCCAGGGGCAGTTAAGTACCTCACTGATTGTTAATTTTTCCCAGTCATGGCTCCATGTAACCCTGCTTCCCCTCCAGGCCTGAGTAAAGCCCTGCTATCTTACTCCTGACATCCTGTGGTTTGGGCCTTGGTCATTGCCAGGCTTCGGCTCTGGGCTTCCATGCCTCATGGAAGGAGGGAGGCAAAGGAGGGGAGATGTAAGCACTCTTGAAGGCGGCATAACCAAGCAATTCCACACTGGGGTAAAGCTCATGCTCCAACACAAGTCAGTTTCCAAAAGCTGTGACGACATCATTCCTTCCTAGATTCTTAGTTCGGGTGCTAGCCGGGGGACCTGCCCACATGCTCATTCACGAATTTGGCAAGGATTAACCGAGCACACATTCTGGGCCGGCAGCTCCGGGCTGTGGAATTGGAATACATCAGGCCTGGAAGGCCCCCAGAGACTGTGTATTGCGAATCAGCAACTTGCGGCCCAAATGCAGCTTCTTTTTTGCCTTGCAGAGTGGTTTTTTTATATTTTCTTCAATTTACATCAACATTTAGAAACCAGAAGATTTTGCGTAAAACATCGCATTTTTCTTGAATATTTTCAAGATCCAACAATAGTGAGACTGCCTGCCACCCTGGCAGTATTTGGTTGGAGCCGACGAGTGGTAGTTCCGTTGTAGGCACCGAGGCTAGCCTCTAGCACTTGGCCCCAGTCTCTGTCCTGCCCTATCGCAGCGCACCTGGCCTGCTCCATTCATTTGTTACTTATCTGGCTCCTTGAGGGCCCTGCGGTTTGCAGCATCTGGTCTCCCTCCGCTCCTCTTGGACTAGTGACTAAAAAGTGAATGAGCGCACCCATCAGAAAACTTACATTCTAACAGAAAAGACAAGACAAGGAAAACAGGGAATTAGCATCTGTACATAGAAATGAGAATGACAACTAACTCAGTATTTGGAGGGCTTGGGAGAGAATTGAGCAGGGTACCATGGGGTCGTGGTAAATCAAGGCCAACTGCTCGGAAGAGGTGGTGTGCAGCGGCTGTACTTAATGATGCGACCTTTGCTGGAGAACATTATGTGCATTTTAGATGTGGGAGGGGAGCACTGTTTGCTCAACTGCTGACTTCCTCAGCCGCTCACTTCCTGGGAAGGACCTAAGGGGAGGGCTGGGGTGGGAAATCTCCTTGAGAACTCTCTCCAGGTCACATGGAGGACCTCACTGCTTCTCGGAGATTCGGTCAAAGGTGACAAGTTCAAGTGGGACTCCAGATCCGTATCAAAATAGAATCGGGGATCCGACCCAGCAGAGCTTGATGGGTGCCCCATCCTTGATGGATCTCCACCCCGACTACACAGGCAGGTGACTTGATGGAGAACTTCTCCCCAGCCCTGGCCCCCTGCCCTCATCTGTGCTCAGGCAGCTCGGCCCCTCTGCCCCGAGCCGGAGACTGTCAGGGAAGCTGGCTGCCAGAGAACAATGCCAGCAGCCCTGGCCCGAATCTAGAGTTGGGCCTGTGTGCTCCACCAGCAAGACCTACCCCCCAGACTTCCTCACTCAGGACTTCTGATTCTGACCCCAACGGGGAAGTGTCAGGGGCCCAAGGAAGCAAGAAATGCGTAATTTGTCCCACTGGTTCAAAGCTGGCGACTTTAATCTGTACTATTTTAGTCAAATGGTCACCCAGCCCCATCCTGCTCTGTTGATCTCCGCTTGCTCTGACCCCTGTCTGTTTGTTCTCCCTGGTTTCCAGGGTTTCGGGGGCTCATCTGAGAGGCAGTGCAGCAGACGGACTAACAGCGGGGGCCCCAGAGTCAGCCTGTGACCCCGAGCAGGGACGTACCACCTCGCCGTGCCTCTGTCTTCTTGTCTGTGAAATGAGAGTGGTAGAGGTGGCCGCCGTGTAAGGCTCGGGAAGGGCTGAATGTGGTAATAACCCTAAAACACGGAGAATGATGCTCGGTGCATGGGGAGAGCTGAGGGTTAGCCGTCCTTCCAGTTAGAACACAGAGGAAGGTAGCATAATTATTCAGAACCAGAAGAAGTTCAGAGCTCCCATCTACTGAGTGCTTCCTCTAAGCCAGGACCCGTGCTAAAACCCCTTACCTGCATTCTCGCATTTACTCCTTGAAATCCAATGAGGTTGATGCTCTCGTTACCCCATTTTACAGAAGAGGACCCTGGGCCTCAGAAAAGTGAAGTAACTGGCTCAAGGTCACACAGCTCGCAAGCAGCAATTTCGGGATTTGAACCAGTGGCTGTTTGTCTCCCAAACCGATGCTCTTACCCACCGTTCTGGGCGGGCGCCTGGTTTGATAAGCAAAAGACCCAAGTTGTCAAGTCACATCAGGTCCATTCCGTTACTTCTCTGTAAAGGAAGGAACAATGAAACCACGAGACCGTGTATGCAGGTGGCTGGCTGGGGTTCCCACTCAGATGCGCAATGTCTGCATGGGGTTAGCAGCCATCCCCAGTCGGGGCACTCAGGGCGCTGGCTTGAAGAAAGAGATGATGGGGGTCTGAAGTAAGCCCACAGATGAGGTTGCACCATCCTCAGGGGGGCTAGAAAGGGCATACTGCGGATTTTCTTTCTCCACAGTCTGACCCTCTCGCCCCACCATCTAAGTTTTGTTGACTCTTACTTGCTTCCATGGTTGAAGCAATACACGCAGGGGTTAAAAAGAAAAGCTTTAGGGTGTAGCTAGTTCCTGATGTCAGCTCAGCCACTTACCAGCTGTGTGACCTTGGATAAATTATATAATTTCTCTGTGCCTCAAGAGCCCCATCGGTACCGAACCTGCCTGCTAGGGTTGTTAGGGCTCTTTGGTGAGGATCTGCATAGCTCTGGGGCTACGGATATGCTTGGGTGCCCCTGTCTGACTGTGGGCCTGTAACTTGGCCTTTGTGCCTCAGTTCCCTCCCTTATCTGTTAGGTGTGGATAATGGGAGTGTTACTTGTAGGGCTTGAGACGACGTGTGACACGCTTGGCTCCTGTTGGAGGTTGGTGAGTACTCAGGACCTATTAG